AGCTGTCACCAACACAACAACCACACCCTGTAAGCCAACACAACAACCACACCTGAGCTGTCGCCAACACAAACCACACCCTGAAGCTGTCGCCAACACAACCACCACACCCTGGAGCTGTCGCCAACACAACAACCACACACCCTGAAGCTGTCGCCAACACAACAACCACACCCTGAAGCTGTCGCCAACACCACCACCACACCCTGAAGCTGTCGTCAACACAACCACCACACCCTGAAGCTGTCGTCAACACAACCACCACACCCTGAAGCTGTCGCCAACACAACCACCACACCTGAAGCTGTCGTCAACACAACCACCACACCTGAAGCTGTCCAACACCACCACCACACCTGAAGCTGTCGTCAACACAACCACCACACCCTGAAGCTGTCGCCAACACAACAACCACACCTGAAGCTGTCGCCAACACAACAACCACACCTGAAGCTGTCCCAACACAACCACCACACCCTGAAGCTGTCGCCAACACCACCACCACACCCTGAAGCTGTCGCAACACAACCACCACACCTGAAGCTGTCGTCAACACAACCACACACTGAAGCTGTCGCCAACACAACCACCACACCTGATGTCGCCAACACAACCACCACACCCTGAAGCTGTCGCCAACACAACAACCACACCTGAAGCTGTCGTCAACACAACAACCACACCCTGAAGCTGTCGCCAACACAACAACCACACCTGAAGCTGTCAACACAACCACCACACCCTGAAGCTGTCGCCAACACCACACCCTGAAGCTGTCGCCAACACAACCACCACACCCTGACTGTCACCAACACAACCACACCCTGAAGCTGTCGCCAACACAGCAACCACACCCTGAAGCTGCCCAACACAACAACCACACCTGAAGCTGTCGTCAACACAACCACCACACCCTGAGCTGTTGCCATCAACCTGAGCTGTCGCCAACACAACAACCACACCTGAGCTGTCACCAACACAGCCACACTGAAGCTGTCGCCAACACAACCACCACACCCTGAAGCTGTCACCAACACAACAACCCACCTGAAGCTGTCGCCAACACAACAACCACCTGAAGCTGTCACCAACACAACAACCACACCCTGAAGCTGTCACCAACACAACAACCACACCTGAAGCTGTCGTCAACACAACAACCACACCCTGAGACTGTCATAACACACCACCACTGAAGCTGTCGCCAACACAACCACCACACCCTGAAGCTGTCGTCAACACAACCACCCACCATGACTGTCACCAACACAACGACCACACCCTGAAGTGTCGCCAACACAACAACCACCCCCGAGTTAACGAGCTGCATGACCCAGTGTCAGAATAGTCGAAGACCGGACAACTCGCCAACTGCACTGGCTAACCATACCCCGGAACAAATCGATTAACATCCAGGTCCCCAATTACTGCTGGGTAGACAGAGGCAAATGGCGTAAAAAACTTGTTCATAATTTCACCCTGCCCGCGGATCAGACGGGTCACTCATTTGCGAGGCGAGCATGCTAACCATTACACCACAGGTCGGACCACTACAGAGTCAGGTCACGTCAGGCCTAGATTAAACTCAATATTGACCAAAGCTTGTGGCTCTGAGGCGCTTTCTTTTTATTCTAAGCGTGACGTCATGATCCAGATGGCCGTTCAGGGATGCTTGCGTATAATAATAATCTTGTTGTCTCTCTCTCTCTCTCTCTTTCTCTCTCTCTCTCTCTCTCTCTCTCTCTCTCTCACTATTCAGCACAGGTGGACAAAAGAAATGGTAACTTATGAATAATAAATTAAGGAAGAATGGAGAGAAAGAATCAATCAGGTAAACGAAAAAAATTACACACACACACACACACACACACACACTTTATTCACCATTATAACGAACGGTGTAGATTCTAGGCTTCCGATTGGCTGTAGAAATAGGGATTTGTGGCCTCTAATTGGCTGTAAGAAGTGAGGTTGTGGCCTCTGATTGGCTGAAAAAACGAATCAAGGCTCCGATTGGCTGTAAATAAGACGCAGATTCAAGACTTCTGATTGGCTGTAATAAACCTAACCTAACCTGACCTGACCTGACCTGACCTGACCTAACCTAACATTATGGGAAGAGATAATTAGAGCTACTTACAAAGAAATAGAAAATGGGGAATGATATAGAATTAAACAGTGACAGACAGTGAATAAATACTGTCTGTGTTCTGTCTGTCTGTTCTGTCTGTCTGTTCTGTCTGTCTGTCTGTCTGTCTGTCTGTGTTAAGAAACAACTAGGAGTTAAATCTTTTTTAAATGATCCTTTTATCTATAACACTACTGTGGGGGGGGGGAGTGGGGAAGGGGGGAGGGGGTAGGGGGAAGGAAGGAAGGAGGGAGGGTAGGGGAAGGGGGGGGGAGGGAGGTGGGGGAAGGGGGGAGGGAGAGGGAAGGGGGAGGGAGGTGGGGAAGGGGGGGGGAGGTGGGGAAGGGGGAGGGAGGTAGGGGGAAGGGGAGGAGGTAGGGGAAGGGAGGAGGGAGGTGGGGGGAAGGAAGGAGGGAGGAGTGGGGGAAGGGGGGGGAAGGGAGGTGGGAGGAGGGAGGTGGGGGATGGGGAGGAGATGGGGAAGGAGGGAGGGTGGGGGGAGGGAGGGGGGGGGAAGGAGGAGGGTGGGGAAGGGGGGAGGGAGGAATGGGGGGAAGGGGGGGAGGGAGGTGGGGGGAAGGGGGAGGTGGGGAAGGAAGGGGAGGGAGGAGTGGGGAAGGGGGGAAGGGAGGGAGTGGGGAAGGGGGGAGGGAGTGGGGAAGGAAGGAGGGAAGGTAGGGGGAAGGGGAGGGGAGGAATGGAGGGAAGGGAAGGAGGTTAGGGGAAGGGAGGAGATGAGGGGGGAGGGAGGTGGGGAAGGGGGAGGGAGTGGGGGGGAAGGGGAGGGAGGTAGGAAGGGGGAGGGAGGTGGGGGAAGGGGAGAGTGGGGAAGGAAGGAGGGAGGTGGGGAAGGAAGGAGGGAGTGGGGGGAAGGGGAAGGGAGGAGTGGGGGAAGGGGGAGGGGGAGGGGAGGGGAAGGAAGGAGGGAGTGGGGAAGGGAGGGAGGGAGTAGGGGAAGGAGGGAGGTGGGGAAGGGGGGAGGGAGGAGGGGAAGGGGGGGAAGGGGAGGTGGGGGGGGGAAGGGGAGGGAGTGGGGAAGGGAGGGAGGTGGGGGGAAGGGGGGAGGGAGGAGGGGGGAAGGGGAGGGGGAGTGAGGGGGAAGGGGGGGAGGGGTGAGGGGAAGGGGAGGAGGTGGGGGGAGGAGGGGAAGGAGGGGGAGGTGGGGGGGGAAGGAAGGAGGGTGGGGAAGGGGGGAGAGGGGAGGTGGGGAGGAGGGGGGAGGTAGGGGATGGGGGAGGGGGTAGGGAAGGAGGGAGGGAGGTAGGGGAAGGAAGGAGGGGAGTGAGGGAAGGAAGGGAGGGGGTGGGGAAGGGAGTGAAGGGAGGTAGGAAGGGGGAGGGAGTGAGGGAAGGGGGAGGGAGGGAGGGGAAGGGGAGGAGAATGGGGGAAGAAATTAGAAAGGTGAGGAATGGGAGAAAGAGGGGGAGAGAAAGGTAAAGAGTGGATGAAGGAGGAAGGAAGAGGGAAGATAAATGGATGAAGGAGGAGAAGAATAAGATGATGATGAAGAAGGGAGACAGGTGAACAATACACCACCTTCCTCACCTCCTCTCAATCCCCTCCTCCCTCCCCCCCTCAACTCATTCTCGTTTCACTTTTCAGGTCCCCCACTCCGACCCTCTCACTTCCCCCCTCTCCTCTCCCCTCCCCAGAGAGAGCAGCCATTACCACCACAATAGATCTACTCTCTCTCTCTCTCTCTCTCTCTCTCTCTCTCTCTCTCTCTCTCTGTTTGTCTAGGTAATGTATGTATGTATGTATGTGTATATAAAAAACACTCTAGCAATACAAACATACAATAATGCTTCTGTTTTCTTGTTTTGTTTTTAGTTTCAATTAAAACACACACACACACACACACACACACACACACACACACACACACACACACACACAATGTTTAGCTGTCAAGTATAATGAAAAACAAACACAACAAACAGACAAACACCGTAGTATAAACACACATCAAACACGTGTTGTTGTTTTTGGTAGAAATAAAATAAATAAAAACAGAAAAAAAAAATTAATGTTTTGTTTTCAAGTATTATAAAAAACTACCGAAATTGTAGATAAACATCTATTAATGTTTGATGTTTGTTTTAACCTAAGCACACACACACACACAGACACACACACACACACACACACACACACACACACACACACACACACACACTGGTTTAATATGTGTTTTATGTGTTTTAAGAAATAAAAAAAATAAAACACAATATGGTTTAAAAGTGAGAGATAGATACTGAGAGACAATGAGAGATAGATACTGAGAGACAAGTGAGAGATAGATACTGAGAGACAAGTGAGAGATAGATACTGAGAGACAACTGAGAGATAGATACTGAGAGACAAGTGAGAGATAGATACTGAGAGACAACTGAGAGATAAATACTGAGAGACAACTGAGAGATAGATACTGAGAGACAACTGAGAGATAGATACTGAGAGACAACTGAGAGATAATTAAACATCTCTCTCTATCTCTATTTACTCTACAAAAATTATATTCCGTTAATAATAATAATAATAATAATAATAATAATAATAATAATAATAATAATAATAATAATAATAATAATATTAATAATAATAATAATAATAATAATAATAATAATAATAATAATAATATTAATAAAAATTCACAATAAAATCATTCAGAATTCCAAACACCCAAACAATAATAATTCCAGAAATAAAAATCTCTCCATTCCTAGTATCTCTCACCTACTAGGAATGCAGTAGAGGAGATGATTCCAGTTCTCTTAGCGACCACGATAGCTATTCCAGATTCAGGAAAGGTACGGTAAAAATCCTTCTTTTCCGTTCCTTATGCCAGGACTTGTAAGGTGCATTTCTCCTTCTCCTTCCCGTTTCAGTAGCTCAATCAACCCCGTTCCATCGGTGGTCTTGCTGGAATGGGAGAGAAAGAGATGGAAAGGGTTAGATTATTGTGGTGATGGGATGGTGGTGTGTGTGTGTGTGTTAATCTTGCTGGAATGGGAGAGAAAGAGATGGAAAGGGTTAGATTATTGTGGTGATGGGATGGAATGGTGTGTGTGTGTGTGTTAATCTTGCTGGAATGGGAGGAAGGGAAGGGTGGGATGGTATAGTGTAGTCTGTTTTATTCCGTTCCATTGGCTAGTTTTGCTGGAATGGGAGAGAAAGATTAAGGGAGATTAAGGGAGATTAAGGGATGGGGTGTGAACGAGGGAGGGGAAATGGGGGAGGTGGGAGGGGGGGGGAAGGGAGAGGGAGAGAGGAGGGAGAAGGAGGGGTCAATACCTCCCTGATAGATGTCCTTAATTATTGAGGGAGAGTTTATATTTACAGGGCCGATATATGGATACTCTCCCTTCCTCTCCCTCTTCCTTACTCTCCCTTCCTCTCCCTCCCTCTCTCTCTCTCTCTCTCTCTCTCCATCTTTATCATCGTCTCCTTTAATTCCTCCTTCGCTTCCTTCAATCATCTCAAAGGAACAGAAGGTAATTGTCTCTTAAGATGTCATGTATAAATGTTTAATAAATGTAGAGAATGTATGATGTTGTTGTTGTTGTTGTTGTTGTTGTTGTTGTTGATGTTGTTGTTGTTGTTGTTGATGTTGTTGTTGTTGTTGTTGATGTTGTTGTTGTTGTTGTTGATGTTGTTGATGTTTTTGTTTTTTGGGAAATTATGAAAAAATTAAATAATAAAAAAAAATTAAATGAAAAAATATAAAATTCCTCACAGCTAAATCCACCAGTTTTAAACACACACACACACACACACGCACATACGCACATACACACACACACACACACACACACACACACACACACACACACACACACACACACACACACACACACACAGATCCATACATCTCCCAGTAGAGAAAGGAGAGGAGGAAGGGGAGAGGAGGGAGAAAAGAGGACAGAGGGAGAGAGAGAGAGAGAGGGAGGGAGGGAGAGGGAGAGAGAGGGAGGGAGGGGAGGGAGGAGGGGAGGAGTTAAGGGTGTCTCTGTGTGTGTGTGTGTGTGTGTGTGTGTGTGTGTGTGTGTGTGTGTGTGTGTCTGTGTGTGTGTGTCTGTGTGTGTGTGTGTGTGTGTGTGTGTGCCCAATTAATTTAAATTGGGCACACACCCCATTACTATTTTCTTCAATGAACTTCCCACATAGTATAACTAACCTAATCGAGAGAGAGAGAGAGAGAGAGAGAGAGAGAGAGAGAGATTAAAGCTATCTCTCTTTTTTCTCTGTCGCTCTTTTTCTCTTTTTCATTATCTGTGTGTGTCTTTGTCTCTGTATGTATGTATGTATGTATGTATGTATGTATGTATGTATGTATGTCTCTCTTCTATTCAGTGTACCTCTTTCCCTCACCATTCCACCAATCACAATCTCCCTCTCTTCCATTCCACCAATCACAATCTCCCTCTCTTCCATTCCACCAATCACAATCTTCCTTCTCTCTCCTTTCCACCAATCACAGTTCGTCACTATAAAGAACTCGTTAGCTGATTGGCTGTGGGTTTACGGTCAACCATTCACGTCTCTTTTACGAATTTTACGACCAAGCGAAAAATCTGAGAAGCGAGGAAGGTGTGAGAAAGAGAGAGAGAGAAAGAAAGAGAGAGAGAGAGAGAGCGAGAGAGAGAGAGAGGTGGATGGATGGATAGATGGCAGAATGCCCTACCCCTACCCACCCCCTCCCCCACCCCCTCCCCCTCCTCACCCCCCCACCAATGTCTCACTTAACTTTCCACACCTCCTCCTCCCCCCCTTAACATGTAAAGCCAATTTGAACAGGAAGCCACACTCCAGGGACCACCTCAGTTTTGACTTCCTCTCCGTCTTTGACCCGTACCTTTGTAGTGTCCTTAGTTGACTTCCACAATCTCTTCCTCCTCCTCCTCCTCCTACTCCTCTTCCTCCTCCTCTTCCTCCTCCTCCTCCTCCTCCCTACTCCTCTTCTCCTCCTCTTCCTCCTTCCCCTCCTCTTCCTCCTCCTCCTCCTCTTCTCCCCTCCTCTTACTCCTCCTACTCTCCCTCTTCACTCCTCCTCTTCCTCCTCCTCTTCCTCCTTCCACTCCTCTTCCTCCTCCCTCTTCCTCCTCCTCCCTAACTTCCTCCTCACCTCCTCCTCTTCTCCTCCTCTTCCTCCTCCTACTCCTCTTCCTCCCTCCCTTTTCCTCCTTCCCTCCCTCTTCCCTCCTCCTCCTCCTCTTCCTCCCTCCTCCTCCTCCTCCCTCCTCCTCTTCCTCCTCCCTCTCCTCTTCCTCCTCCTTTTCCCTCCTTCCTCCTCTTCCTCCTCTTCCTCCTCCTCCTCCTCTTCCTCCTCCTCCTCCCTCTTCCTCCTCCCTCACCACAACCTATCACCAACACCTGGTTTAGGCAGGCCGACCGGTTCAAGAGTTCGTGGCAACACCCACCACCCAAACACTGGCACCTCGTTAACTACATCATTGTCAGAGAAAGAGATCACCGAGACGTCCTCATCACCCGCGGCTCAGACCACCGTCACACTCATCATCGACTTGTCAAGAGCCAAGCTGTCACTTCACTGTTAGCTGCTTGAGTCAAACACTGATGTACTGTTAGCTGCTTGAGTCAAACACTGATGTACTGTTAGCTGCTTGAGTCAAACACTGATGTACTGTTAGCTGCTTGAGTCAAACACTGATGTACTGTTAGCTGCTTGAGTCAAACACTGATGTACTGTGCGTGTCCTGACTACAGCTCCTGGAGGTGACCCATCATGACAACCTACCATCTCGAGGCGTGGTAAACACTGCCACTAACAAGATGATAAACAACAAAGCCGTGACCTGTACATGACCTTCAATGACCTAACCAAGGCCTTCAACTCGGTCAACAGGGGAGCCCTCAGTCGTTTTGGTTGTCCACTAAAATTCTTCACCAATGTGAGGCAATCCATGATGGCATGAAAGGCAATATCCTGCACCATCTACGAGTTAGCCCGACTACATACCGAGGCATAAAGACGCTGCCGCCGCCCCTCCCACAGTAGATGTAGCCCTCCACACGTGCAACATCTGTTAACGACCCTGCCGGTCCCGTATCGGCCTCTTTAGTCACCTCAGAGCTCACTAACCAAGGTGACATCCTTAATAACTCATATCATTGTATCATAGCTGGATGATCGTCATACTTGATTCCGAGTGACAACAAACAGATTAAGTGTTATGTATGTATGTATGTATGTATGTATGTATGTATGTATGTATGTATGTATGTATGTGTGTATGTGTGTGTATGTATGTGTATATGTGTGTATGTGAAAAATAGATGGAACAGAGAGGGTAAATGGAGGAGATAAAGAAAAAAGATAAATTAGATTGGTAAAGCAATTGTGGGAAGAAAAAAGTGAGAAAGGATGAAGAGAAAACAGGAGAGGAGGAAAAACAGTGATAAAAGAATAACTAGAAAATAACGGAGAAGGAAAAACAAAGGAGGAGTGAATAGAGAAACGAGGAAAAGAGCAGAAAGAGAAAGTATAGAGAGAGAGAGAGAGAGAGAGAGAGAGAGAGAGAGAGAGAGGACCAGATGCAACAACAGGACACTGGGAACACGACAACACCGCACTTTTAATAAAATGCCGAGTCTCTCTCTCTCTCTCTCTCTCTCTCTCTCTCTCTCTCCTTTGATGTTATGGGTTTCCCACCAAGAGAATTCCCTGTGTGACTGTGTGTGTGTGTGTGTGTGTGTGTGTGTGTGTGTGTGTTTTACAGGTAAAGTTATCAGAAGGATTTTTTCATTTCATTATATACAATATTTTAGCAGACAGACGAAACGGACAGACACATACAGACATACAGACAGACAGACAGACAGACAGACAGACAGACATACAGACATACAGACAGACACAGATTGACCAGAACCAGACAGATAGACAAAATGTGAAAGAGTGAGATCAAATAAACTCCCCCTTCCTCTCCTCTCCCCCCCCTCCTCCCTCCCCCTCCCCCTACCTCTTATTGACCAATCCCCTTCCCCTCCTCCCCCCTCCAGCACTACATCATCACCTGGACCTGATGGATGGTTAATGACCTAAATAGGGCAGTTCAGGGCCATTAGCTCAGCGTAATGACCCTTAACGACTGTAAACACCAGCTCTTGAAATTTCTAAACAGGCCAACTGGATCTTGTGTCCTTTTAGCACTGAACTTGATACCAGATGAAAATATATGATGTTTTTTTTTTTCGATTTTTTTTTTGCTTGTTTCTCTGTTAATTTGTTTGTTTGTTTGTTTGTTTGTTTCCTTTATTTATCTGGAATTTTTTTGTTTTTTTTTGTTTTTCTTTATTTATGTAAATTTTTTAGGTACTTTTTAAAGGATATTTTAGGTACATTTTAAGGGAATTATTAAAGTCCTGTTGTCATCTTTTTTAGGGTAATTTTAAGGGTCGCATTTAGGTCTATGTTTTAAGGGGTCTGTCTGTCTGTCTGTCTGTCTGTCTGTCTGTCTGTCTGTCTGTCTGTCTGTCTGTCTGTTTACCTGTCTTTCCCTCCCTCTCTCTCTCACTCTATCCCCCTCTCTCTCACCTGTCCAATTAACAAGTTTCATCATAATACCGGTAATTAACTCAGGTACACCCAGCCTCCTTAGGTGATGTCCATATCACTAATTAGCCACGGCCGCAGGTGGGTGGGTGGGTGGTGGAGTGGGTGGTGGGTGGGTGGAGTGGAGTGGTGTGGTGGGTGGTGTGGGTGGGTGGGTGGGTGGTGTGGGTGGGTGGGTGGGTGGGTGGGGTGGGTGGTGTGGGTGGGTGGTGGGTGGGTGGGTGGGTGGGTGGGTGGGGTGGGTGGGTGTGGTGTGGGTGGGTGGGTGGGTGGGTGGTGGGTGGGTGGGTGGTGTGGGTGGTGTGGGTTTTGGTGTGGGTGGATGGATGGATGGATGAACAGCGGTGAGTGGTTAGATCGATGAATAATCTGTCCTATCTGTCTATCTGGTTAATTAGCTGACAGGTTGCACAGTTCACACCTTCACCACTGAGGACAGGGGGTTCATTTTCATGGATGACTCAACACTTCCGGTTTGTTATCAATTCCCCCGTCTGCCTGTGAAGGAGAGGCATGTGGGGGGCGTTTGGGGGTGGGGGGCGTGTGGGGGCATGTGGGGTGTGGGGGCGTGTGGAGGGGCGTGTGGAGGGCGTGTGGGGTGTGGGGGGTGTGGAGAGGCGTGTGGAGAGGGCGTGTGGGGAGCATGTGGGGGGGGCATGTGGGGGAGCGTGTGGAGGGGGCGTGTGGGGGGGAATGTGGGGGCGTGTGGAGGGCGTGTGGGGTATAGGAGACCTGAGTAGGCAGTGGCAATCCCTCTCTCTCTCTCTCTCTCTCTCTCTCTCAACTACCACAAACCACATCACACACCCAAACTACCCACCACGTCACCACAGCCATCAACCGTAAATGGGGCAATTGGTATGCTCGTTAAGGCCGGGTTGAGTGATGGGGTGTACATGCCTATAACCACCAATTAGTGGAGATGGGGGGAAACTAGGGGGAAAATAGGGAAAGCTGGGGTAAAATAGGGAGAAACTGGGGTAAAACTAGGGAGAAACTGGAGAAAAATGGGGAAAATAGGGTAGTATAGGAGACATTTGTTACGATGCCTGTGTGCTACTGGGAGACATATCAAGGGGAGAGGGGAGGAGGAGGAAAGGGAAGGAAGGAAGAAAGGAGAGAAGAGACAACAGGGGGAGGAATGATGAATGATGTTAGGGATTTATGTGTGTGTGTGTGTGTGTGTATGTGTGTGTGTGTGTACGTAAATCACTTTCTGTTTCTCTGTCTGTTTCTGTCTATCTATCTGTCTGTCTATCTATCACAAAGGGAATTGAATACATACCCATATAATGATAGCATCGGCAATAGTCATGTTCATAGCAATAGTAATAGTAATAATAGTAAGTAATAATAATAATAAAAACACCAAAACAAACACGAAAACAAACACAGTACTCACATCAACAGTACCCCACTTGCCATCTTCAACACGAGTCAGTTCGTACGAGAAGCCTAAGTCACTTGCAAATTTTTCCAGTAGGTCGATACAGAAGCCAGAGCAGCACATAGTCGTGGAAGCTGTAGAGACGTTCCCGCTACCACGCTGGGATGGGGAGAGGATTGGTTAGTTATGGAATTGGTGGGGTGATGAATTGGGGTCTGGGGAATTAGTTAGTTATGGGGTGGTGGGGAGTGAGTGGTGGGGTGATGGTGGGGGTGAGGGGTGGTTGAACAAGGGTGGTGGGTGATGGTGGGGTGTGGGGGAGTGGTTAGTTATGGGTGGTGGGGTGATGGTGGGGTGTGGAATTGGTTAGTTATGGGGTGGTGGGGTGATGGTGGGTGGGGGGTGGTTAGTTATGGGGGTGGTGGGAATTGATGGGGTGGGGTGTGGTGGGGAGAGGGGGTGGTTAGTTTTGGGGTGGTGGGGTGAAGGGGGTGATTAGTATGGGGAGATGGGGAGATAAGAGAGTTGATAAAGCATAGAAAAGGGAGGATGAATGAGAGAGAGAGAGAGAGAGGCAATAAAACTCAGAACTAGAGGCAGTGAACGATAAATCAAGAGAAATGAAAGAGAAAGAGAGAACGAAAGGATAAGGGACAAAAAGAGATAATAAATCAAGGTAGATGGGAGAGAAAAATAATAAAACGGGTAATAAGAGAAATGAGAAATAAATCAAGAGAAAGAAGGAAAAGACGAGACTGGCAAAAGAGAAAGGAGAAAGAGATGAAAATGGGAGATATGAGAGAGAGTAATAATTTAGAATGTAAAGAGAAAGTAGCCAATAAAGAGAGAGAGAGAGAGAGAGAGAGAGAGAGATGAATAAACAGAAATAGACAAACAAAGAAATGGACAGAAAGATGAAAATAATGAGTGAGTGAGTGAGTGAGTGAGTGAGTGAGTGAGTGAGTTATGAATAATATTAATGATACACCTTAACCTAACCTAACCTAACCAAACCCTAACTTAACCTCACCCTAACCAAACCCTAACCTAACCTAACCTAACCTAACCCTAACTTAACACCAAACCAACTTAACCTAAGCATCTGAAATTCCCTAAATCCAAGGAAATTACCCGACCACAATAAGCTAAATAACTCACTCTGGCGTCTTGTTTGGGGGAATTTTACATATAACTCCCCTATTGGCTGAGCACTGCTTCGTCACGGGGTCAGCTGGGGCCAAGTTAATGTAAGGTGGTTCCTCCAGGTACACGATCTGTTATAGGGAGAAAAAATATATCACAGGTAAATTTTTGATGCTTTTAGGGAATTTTTGATGATTTTAGGAAATTTTTGATGATTTTAGGGATATTTTAGGAATTTTTTGATGAGTTTAGGGAACTTTTAGGGATTTTTTGATGAGATTAGGGATATTTTAGGGAATTTTTGATGATTTTAGGGAATTTTTAGGGATTTTTGATAAGGTTAGGGATATTTTAGGGAATTTTTTATAATTTTAGGGATATTTAAAGGAAAATTACGATGTTAAGGGAAAAAGTGATGCTAGAATATATTAACATAATTATTAATAAAAGAAAACTGACAATAATAGGAAAATAAAATTATGACTAGGGAAAAATTCGAGTAAGAATGGATGAAACTAGGGAAAATTAAGACCAGTCCCACCCTAATTATTTTTTATCATTATCTATCTAACTTCTACTTTATCTATCTATCTATATATCTATCTATCTATATCACTATTTTCCCCCAGATGGTGGTGTCAATGCTCTGGTGTATGGAGTGAGTGGCAGGGGAAATTGATATAGTTAGGGAGGAAATGAGGGGAAATTTGATCAAGCTGCAGAGGTTATTGGGGGGAGGGAGGGAGGGAAAAAACGATAGACTCTCTGTAAACTGAAGGGAAACATTAGAATCCTTTAGGGAAAAAAGTAGGGAATTAATCATCAGAAATTGAGGATAGATCTTGAAGGGAATTTTCTTTATCTCAATTCAGGGAAAAAAACCGTAGGGGAAATTATACCTATTTATTGAATATGGGTCATTTAGGGAATAATTAGGGAAAAAACGTAGGGGAATTATAACTATTTATTGAATATCGGTCATTTAGGGAATAATTAGGGAAAAAATGTAGGGGAATTATAGCTATTTATTGAATATCGGTCATTTAGGGAATAATTAGGGAAAAAAATGTAGGGGAATTATAGCTATTTATTGAATATGGGTCATTTAGGGAATAATTAGGGAAAAAACAGACCTTCAGGGTAAAAATACTACCAAATTAACACATTTAACCCAATCATATCTCACTAGGGGAAAAATATCGAGAAATTACCCATCTAGCACAAGAGACAGGGAGGCGAGGGCAGGGATATTACACTCATTTAGGGGAGAAAATTAAGGGAATTATCCTCCTTTTAAAAGTGTATGAAGGGGTAGGTTTGGGGAATAGTGGCAGGGAAAAAATTAACCCATTCAGGGGGAAATATGGAACACTGGAGAGCGTGTGGGGGAAGAAATTGTTTTGCGTGCTTGTCTGTCTGTCTGTCTGTTTGTCGTCTCTCTCTCTCTCTCTCTCTCTCTCTCTGTCTGTCTACCTCTCTCTCTCTCTCTGTCTACCTCTCTCTCTTTGTTTATCTCTCTATCTGTTTCTCTCTCTCTTTGTCTGTCTTTCTGTCTTTTCACTGCCTATCACCTTATATTTACTTTCTATTGCTTTCTCTTCACTTTCTACAGCTATTTCATCTTCTTCTCTTCTTTACACTTTCTAATAATGTTCACATTTTATCTTTATCATTCCTTTCTAACTGCCTTTCCTTTCTATAACTTTCTCTTTTTTATTGCTTTCTCTTCACTTTCTCCAACATTTACTTACGATTAGAAACATTTTATTCACTTTCTAAACGCTCTGTGCATTTTCTAGTTTCCATCACTTTCACTTCACTTTATACTTTCTATTTTTTTTCTAATAATTTATATTTATCTTCTAGTGCTTTTACTTAACTTTCTAATGCTTTATCTAAACTTTCAGCTACTTCATCTATACTTTATACGACTTTCCCTTCACTTCCTAATTTATCTTAACTTTCTACTACTTTCCTTGCACTTTCTAATACTTTCACTTCACCTTTTCTTTCATTTTCTGCAAGTAATACTTTTCTTTTTGTCTTCTTTTTACTTTTATAACTTCTCTTCATTTCCTACCAACTGTCATCCACTTTTCTAACTTTCTCTTCACTTTCTGCCACAGTTTCTTACCCTTTCTCTTCACTTTCTTTTCCTTCTACGATTTTCTTCACAGTTTTAACAACTTTTTACAGCTTTCTATTGCATTCGTTTTTCTTTGTATTTGTTTACTTTATATTACTTTCTCTTCACTTTCTATAACTTTCTCTTCACTTTCTATAACTTTCACTTCACTTTCTACAAAATTTTCTTCCAATTTTTATAACTTTCTCTAATTTATCTTCACTTTCTATAAGTTTCTCTTCTCTTTCGTAAACTTTCTCTTCGTGTTCTATTACTTTTCATCATTTTCTCTTCTACTTTCTAAAGTTTTTATTCACTCCACATTTCTTTACTTTCTACACCTTTGTCCTGACTTTCTAACACACTCTAGATATTGTTTTTGTGGGTTCTATTAAAATATATCTATCTATCTATCTATCTATCTGTCTGTCTGTCTGTCTGTCTCCTTAAGAAAAACAAATGAAAAATCTGTCAGAGAAAATATATAAGGACAGGTATCTTTCCTCCTACTTTCCTCACATGTATAGACGACTGAACCAAAAAAAAAAAACAAGTGAGTGACGGGAACTCAATATCTTCTTTCCTTAAACTGAATAAACAATAAATGGATAGAAAGTATAAGGACAAGTATCCCTCTCCTCTTTCCCTTACGTCTATAGACAACTGAACCAAACATAACAAAAAACAAGTGACTGACAGGAAGCCAATATATTCTACCCATACGCTGAATAAGTCAACAAGAAAGAAAATATAAGGATATGAATCTCCCCTTCTCTCTCGTTCTCCCCCTCGCATCTATAGATAGCTAAAACAACAGCCGAAAAAACGAATGACGAACGCTTCCCAATATAGCTTTTCCGAAAATAGACAAAGCGGAGATATAAAACCACGTATCCTCTCCCATCCTTCATTCCCTCGCGTCTATAGATGACAAAAACAAAATAGCAACGAACATCCTCCATTCTCTTTAAAACAAATAAACCGGGACAAACAAACAAAGCAAAAAACATACTAAAACAACTATCCCACCTTTTCCCGCCCTTTTTCCTAGCATGTATAGATACCATAACCACCACAATCACAATAAACAAACAATAAAACAAGTGACTAATGCCAATAACACAGGGGGGGAGGCTTAAATAGTCTTATAGAGAGTTAGTACAGAAGAGTCTTGTAGTTCAAACACATTCACAGCGGAATCTTTTGCAGAGTGAGGAATGAAAGGAGATGATTGTCGGCTTTTGTAGGGGAGTCGAGGCCTTTGTAGGGGAGTAAAGGCTTTTGTAGGAGGGGAATGTAGAGGAGCAGATTGGGTTAAAGAGAGTGTGTGATCCTTTAAAGAGAGTTTTTTTTCAGTAATTCTATCGGTGGTGTAGGGAAAGGGGGTCTCTCTCTCTCTCTCTCTCTCTCTCTCTCTCTCTCTCTCTCTCTCTCACTCTCTCACTCTCTCTCTCACTCTCTCTCTTTCTCTTTACCTTAAGGTGGAATTTCTCCGGCACGCCCTGGGGAGGTACGTGTCCGTTGCCAGGCCACACAATGTCGTTCACGGACAGTCCTTCATCCTCCCACGACCGCCACACACCGATCTGAACGTGCCAAGGACAACCATTAGTGTACTGAAGGATTTATGGGGATTTACAGAGATTTACACTGGTTATAACGGATTTACGTAGAGTTATTAAGTCTTAGGATTAATATACTGAAAGATTTACCTGGATTTACATAGGATTTATACATATATATATGAACGAGTATTGAAGGATTTTTGAAGGATTTACGAAGATTCCTTACAGGGATTAATCTACTGGAGGATTTACATGGATTAATATATAGAAGGATTTTTCAATAATTCAACATAATTATTGAAAGATTTTTGATAATATATAAATTAAGTTTTTCTACAAAATAATATACGTTCATTAAAATCCTCTCACTATCTCTCACCATCTCTCACTATCTCTCACCATCTCTCACTATCTCTCACTATCTCTCGCCATCTCTCTCACTATCTCCCTCACTATCTCTCACTATCTCTCACTATCTCTCACCATCTCTCACTATCTCTCACTATCTCTCACTATCTCTCACTATCTCTCACTATCTCTCACCTCTTCCCAGATCATATTATTAGAGGTTCCTTCTCTTAGGTTGACAATCTTCAGCTCAACATCCTTCCTGGTGCCATCTGTGTTGAAGGATAAGGTGGACGACTGCCGGGGGATGTTCACGTCTCGTAGGTGTCTGGCGGAGAGATAGAGAGATAATGAGAGATAGAGATAGTGTGGGAGATAGTGAGATACAGTGTGAGAGATAGTGAGAGAGATAGTGTGTGAGAGAAGGAGAGAGATAAACAGGTAATTAGAGATGACAACGTGGAATTAGGAGAAATCTCTGGGTGTCTCTCAACGTGTCAGGGAGAGATGAAGAAAGATCAAGGAATATATCCAGAGAGATAGAGACAATTAAGAGACATTGAGAGAGAGAGAGAACAAAAAAATAACAAGAACAAAATAACAAGAACAAGAACAAAATTAGAACCGAAATATGAGACAAAATGGCAAGAACAACAAATGTAGAACAACAAAATATGGAGACAAGGCAACGAACAACAAAAATAACAAGAACATGAAGAACAAGAACATAAAACGTCAAAAACGTGAGGTAATTGGTCAAGAAATATTACCACATAAAACTTTGTCCTCATTAAACTCTTGGGAGAAAAAGTTTTAAGAGTCCGTCAGATAACATGATGAAAATATTACCCGTCTCTTACACGTAAACACCACTAAAAAGTATTAAAAGTAGGAAAAGTAGTGGAAGTAGGAAAAGTAATGATTATAAAAAAATAGTAAAATTAATCATAAAATGTAAAAAAATTTAATAAGTATAACAAGTAATAAAAGTATAAAAAAGTAATGAAAATACAAAAAAGCATAATTACTAAAACAAAGGCAGCAATTAGTAACAAAGTATTAAGAAAAATATAAAAAAGTAGAGGAAAGTTTATAAAAAGTATAACCCCATACCTGTAGATAATCCAATTAAACCTCCACACCTGTAGAAAGTTACCAGTCACACCTGTAAAAAGTAGTGGCAGTCATACCTGTAGAAAGTTACCAGTCATACCTGTAGAAAGTTACCAGTCATACCTGTAGAAAGTTACCAGTCATACCTGTAGAAAGTTACCAGTCATACCTGTAGAAAGTTACCAGTCATACCTGTAGAAAGTTACCAGTCATACTACCTTAGAAAGTCCAATTAAACTATTTTTATAGCTTAGAAAGTTCCCAGTATCCCCCCCCCCCCATTCCCGTAGAAAGTCACCAGTCATACCTGTAGAAAGTAGTGGCAGTCATACCTGTAGAAAGTAGTGCCCAGAGCCCACTTAGAGTTCCTGTGGTCGCTGCAGGAGAGCTGAGGGTTGAGATCGCTAGGGGTGAAGCGGGTCTGATTGACGAACTCCTCGATAGCGTAGGCAAAGACCTCCACCGCCGTCGGGATGCTGGAGGTCAAGCTCTCGAGGGAGGTATCGAAGTGAACGCCTGTCGGGAGAGAGAGAGAGTTTGAGTGAGAGAGAGAGAGGGAGAGAGTGAGGGAAAGAGAGCGAGTGAGTGAGTGGAAAAACACAACACAACATTCTCTTACACCCACCTCCAGGTTCAAAACACTTAATATCGGCTCCTGAATAAACTCATGCATCCCAAATCCTCTTATAACCGCATCCAACCCTATACGTTTAGTGGGATCCAAACCTCTCTCATAGGATCCAATGCTATTATAAAGGATCCAATGCTATTATTTTCATCTCTCTAAGGTTTCGTACACATGATAGCCTGGTTAGTGGTGGTTAATGGGATTGAATCGTCTTTCTATGGCTTGCTGGGGGATGGAATTTCTTATTTAGAATATATGAGGATTTTAAAAAGCGATTTCTATGCTATTTTACAGGATTTACGGAGATTATGGATGTGTGTATATATATGTACATTAATATATATGTAAATATTCTTGTTAATTACTTTTTTACAATATGTCTATTTACAATAAATTTTTTACATAGTGGTAATCTTCTCTTGAGTCTGGTGTAAATTACATGTTGTGTAAAACAGATACATTTACAATTAGTCTGTCTGTCTGTCTGTCTGTCTGTCTATGTCTGTCTGTCTGGCTGTCTGTCTGTTTCTGTCTGTTTCTGTCTGTCTGGCTGTCTGTCTGTCTGTTCTAAATTATGTGACAGGAAATTAATGTTTTTCTTTATCAAGTTTATGATTTGGTCCACGAAAAAGGCAGACAGACAGACAAAGAGAGCTGCTGGATCTATCAACACACACACTCCTGCACTAATTGGACAGGAGGAGGTAGTTGAGTTGACGCAGCAAACAATCACATAAGTAAACAGTGAGTTGGCGAAAGTAGACAAGCAGGTGCAGACAATTGGCAAACAAGAAGAATTAACCTAACCTACACTAATCTAATCTAGCTTAAACTAACCTAATCTAACCTAACTTAACCTAACCTAGACAAGCAGGTGCAGACAATTGGCAAACAAGAAGAATTAACCTAACCTACACTAATCTAATCTAGCTTAAACTAACCTAACCTAACCTAACTTAACTTAACCTAACCATAACTACTCAGCCAATCATCTTCCTTGTTTACAAATCTTCCAACCAATCACTTTTATTCGATAGTCTCTCAGCCAATCATCGCCCTTGTTTACAAATCTTCCAACCAATCACTTTTATTCGATAGTATCTCAGCCAATCATCGCCCTTGTTTCATAACCTTCCAGCCAATTAGCTCTCTTGTTTGATTAGAGTAATTAATTAGTTCAAGTCTTAATTAATTCCACCTTTAATAATTACACAGGTATTTTATGACTTTTTGTGACGTAATCAACATGTAATTACCTGAGTGACATCATTGATTACCTAAGACGAGTTTAGTCACACTGTCTTTCTTTTACACGTTTTTATCTCTCTCTCTCTCTCTCTCTCTCTCATTATCTCTCTCTCTCTCTCACTATCTCACTATCTCGACCACTCTCCCATACAGGTAAAACATTCAGGTGGGATTAATTTAGTTATGTAAATATTGGTCACATAGTAGAGATTATTGTTATGTAACCTGGATATTAATTTTGTGTCTTTGTTGACATATGTTCAGTGTGTGTGTGTGTGTGTGTGTGTGTGTGTGTGTGTGTGTGTGTGTGTGTGTGTGTGTGTGTGTGTGTGTGTGTGTGTGTGTGTGTGTGTACATTTGCTTCATTTTTTTTTACCAATCTTGTTTTTATTTCTCTGCTTGTCTCTCTCTCTCTCTCTCTCTCTCTCTCTCTCTCTCTCCACCACACCACAAGACAATAGCCACACTACTTTCTCTTACTTTCTCTCGTCACTTTCACCACGAGATTATATAACACTTTCTTCAAGCGAGACCTAAAACTTGACTGGTGAAAGGCGAATTCTGAGATAAAACTTAAACAACTTTCTTCCCATCAGAGAATTCAACAACTAACTTTCTCTCTTGGAAAGATATTCAAACTTTCTTTATATTTTGGATCCTTTCACTCTCTCTTTCATTCATTCATTCTCTCTCTCTCTCTCTCTCTCCTCTATCCCTTCCTCTACCTACCCCTCGAACCTTACCTCCCACCCCCTATCCTACCAACCATCCAACCCAACCACCTAGAACCTATCCCTTCACCCCTACCATCAAAAAAAAATCTACCCACAACCAAAGACAAACACCAATACTCACCTAACATCCCGACAGGTAATTCATTAGAGACAACCAATCCCTCGGTTCTATCCCCGATGACGGATTGGGTAACTATCCAGATGTAATTTTTATCCACGAGGTCAAGGGACGTAGCTTCCTTCATAATGACAGCAGCTTCATCCCGGGTAGAGTAGAGGAGGATAATTCGGGCCTCTGAGTTCTTGAGACGCAGGAGGGACGTTCGAGGGTCACCAATTATTATAGTATCGATAATGACGAACCTGAGGGTGAATGAGAGATATGGTGAGAGATATAGTGAGGGATTAGTTATATATGGTGTGAGAAAGATACACATACACACACACACACAGATGTATAGTGAGAAATATGATGCGTAGTTGCGTATTGAAGGTTTCTTATTATGCGTAATATGGGTTAATATGAATAACTTTACCTGCTCTCTCTCTCTCTCTCTCTCTCTCTCTCTCTCTCTCTCTCTCTCCCTCTCACCCATTCCACCCCTCTCCTCCCTCTCACCCCTCTCCTCATCACCAGTCAATCCAACACGACTCTCTGACAACGATCAAGTCTTTGGCGGATTCTCCTCCTCTTTCATTCTCAATTAAACCTTGGACCAAATTCTCGTCTCACCAGCAAAAACTCACCAGCCTTCACATTATTTCTCTCGTTCTCTCTTCCATTCTCTCCCTTCTATTATCTCTATTTCCTCCCATTCTCTCTTTCATGCAGTACAGTAGAAAGTAATTACTGTTAACTTCAAAATATCTCCTAATATTAAGGGCACATGACTTCAAACTGGCTTCAAAATGGCTTCAAAATGGCCATGATATTGGTCAGATTAAAAAAAAAAATCCGGGGGGTGGGGGGTGGGGGTGGTGGGGTGGAGATTACAGTAACCCCTTCCTGCTTCACACCACCTAGCTAAAGTGGGTTCGCTTTGCTCGCCATGTCCCCCACCCTTTTGGACGGGCCTTTTGATATTCCTGGATCCGCCCCCTCCATTTTCTCTCATTCTTTTTTCTCTCGTTCTCTCCTCCATTTTCTCTCATTCTCTTCTCTCTCGTTCTCTCCTCCATTTTCTCTCATCATCATCTCATTCGCATCTCATTCTCTTTATCTTAGTCACCCCCTTAAAATTATTAACACCTCCGTTTTCTGTCTTTGAACACTTCCGTTTTCTCTTTCTCATCACGATTTTTAAAAAGAACAATAAATATATTTTCTTTTCTTTCTATATATTTTAAAATTTAATGAATTTTGTTTATTTTTTTAATTGACGAAATATTATAGTATTTTCTTACATGAATTTTAATAACCAAGATATAGATTAAAAACTTAGATACTTATAAAAACTTAACTATACTTAGCTGTCTTATAAACTTAACCATTACTTATAATACTTTAATAAGTCCCTCTTAAGTGTAGAGAGAGAGAGGCACTTAATACAGGCTGATTAAACTACACACTTGTCCCTTGAATACTTAACCAGCTGATTCCTTGCTGGTGATTGGCTGAGTGGAGGTTTGGCTGAGAGGTGATTGGCTGAGAGGTGATTGGTTGAGAGGTGATTGGCTGAGAGGTGATTGGCTGAGAGGTGATTGGCTGAGAGGTGATTGGCTGAGGTGATTGGTGAGGTGATTGGTTGAGAGGTGATTGGCTGAGAGGTGATTGGCTGAGAGGTGATTGGATGGGATACAGAGACAGGACGCGATGAGAGACAGTGATTGGATGAGACAAAGAGACAATAGCAAGACGCGGTGAGACACAATGATTGGGTGATTATGTGATAGATGAGAGACAATAAAGGGTGAGGGTAGTGAAGATCTTTTGTTCGTTTTAAACCATGGCGGAACGAGGCTGTTTGATGTGGTGAGAGTATATTAGTGAGAGGAGAGGATTGTGGGGTTGGTAACAAGGAGGGAGGGAGGGGTGAAGGAAGGGGGAAGAAGAAGTGTGGGAGGGATGGTGGATGGAAGGAGAAGGTGGACGGAGGGAGAGTGTGGTAAAGGAGGAGAGGGAAAGACTTAATTGATAGAACAGATAAAGAAGGGAAAGACAAAATGGAAAAGAGGCAAAATACAAAGGAGAAAAGAAGATAGTGGGTATATGTGAGAGAGAGAAAGAGAGAAAGAAGCAAGACTTGACGGCTCACCCAATATTGATGACTGACTGTGGTGTGGGTGGGTGGGTGGGGGTGGGTGGTGAGGGTGGGTGGGTGGTGATGGGCGGGGTAGGCGTGTGGACGTGACGTGGTGTTTGAAAATGTCGTGTTTCTCCTGAACTAAAACACGTCTGGCGTCATGTTTTATGTGTGTGTGTGTGTGTGTGTGTGTGTGTGTGTGTGTGTGTGTGTGTGTGTGTGTGTGTGTGTGTAAAAGTGCCAAATCGACCCTCTCATCTTGGAGACAATTACTCACATCGTAACGCTTGGAGGACCACCACACGAGAAGGTGTCAATACTTTTAAAGTTAGCCCGACTGCAAACCAGGGCAGACAAGCAACGCCGGAAAGACGCTGCGCGCCCTCCACAGTAGATGTAGCCCTCCACACGTGCAACATCTGTTAACGACCCTGCCGGTCCCGTATCGGCCTCTTTAGTCACCTCAGAGCTCACTAACCTAGGTGACATCATTAATAACTCATATCATTGTATCATAGCTGGATGATCGTCATACTTGATTACGAATGACAGCAAAGTAGTAGTAGTAATGTGTACCCACCTGTACCGCTCACGCACCTGTACCCACCTGTACCGCTCACATGTACCCACCTGTACCACTCACATGTACCCACCTGTACCACTCACATGTACCCTGTACCGCTCACATGTACCCACCTGTACCGCTCACATGTACCCACCTGTACCGCTCACATGTACCCACCTGTACCGCTCACATGTACCCACCTGTACCGCTCACATGTACCCTGTCTCTCCCACTGTACCGTAAGCTCCTGATGTTTTGAACCCTGACGTAAAACCATAACAAAAACATCAACTGGCATCTTCCAAAGATACGATTCAAAATAAATATAAACTATCGTACAAACACAGATTAAATAACATACTTTGATACAACTTGTCGTACAGTGTGTTGAAACGATCGATTTTTACAGACACTAAAAGACTAAAATATCGTAATGTAATGTATCGTAAAGGGAAAAAAACGATACCTTAGGGTGATTGTTAAGGAGGAACGATCGTACGGACGCGTATAAAGGAGGTAATGGTGGGGGTGAATTATCGTATCGACAACTCAGAAATCCTGCTGCCTTAAACGATCTCACACGTACGAGGTTTAAAACTATCGTACGTGAAGTCTTAAATAACGTACCCTATGGAAAGTCATCGTACATAAAGAAATATTATCTACTACGATAAATAACTAGATAAATATCATACACTCAAGAAAGTTATTGAACAACAAAAAACTATCGTACATAACCTAACATAAATAACGAACAAGTGCTAAGTTATCGTACCGAGATATCTGAGTTTAAGCAGAAATAAAAATCGTATTTAACTCGTCAAAATATCGTACGTTGAGGTAAGTTATCGTACATCCCACAACACAGGGCCTCAGGGTTTATAATATCAGGTTGGTGCTTTAACCCAGCTAGTGTTGAGTAAGTCTTGGTCACCACTAGAGGTCGTCAAGTGAACGCAGAGAGCCAGAAACACCTCCGAGTTCTGGTGAAAGGAAAAGAAAACGCGGGAGAGGTGGAAAAAGAGGCAGGTGGTGGAAGAGGAGGGAGAGGAAGATGAAGAAGGGAGATGGGGAAGAGCTGATTTCTGTCCTCTCTCCCTCTCTCTCTCTCTCTCTCTCTCCCTCTCTTTCATTCTGCTTTCCCCTTCCATTTATCACCTATCTCTTCCCTCCTTCCATTTTTTCCCTTAAGACAGCTATCACCTGCTTCTTCTGGTTGAATGGAACAGAAGATGGAAGAGACTGAGAAAAGAGAGAGAGGGAGAGTGTACAAAGGAAAGGGAGGTGGTCTTGGGTGATGGAAAAGGGGAGGCGAGTGATGGGAAGGAGAGGTGGTTAATGGAAGATGGAAAGGGAGATAATGGTGTTGTTCTTAGGTGTTGGAAAAGAAGTGGATGGGCAAAAATCTCTCTCTCTCTCTCTCTCTCTCTCTCGCTCTCTCTCTCCTCTCTCCTCTCTCTCTCTCTCTCCTCTCTCTCTCTCTCTCTCTCTCTCTCTCCTCTCTCCTCTCTCTCTCTCTCTCTCTCTCTCTCTCTCTCTCTCTCTCTCTCTCTCTCTCTTAATTAACTCTTTTTTATCAAGGTAATTTTTAGTGGAATTCTCAGGTACACTAAAGTCATCAAGACTCTCGTACACATATACACACATGTACGTTTTTTATCCTATCAAACTTACATGGCGATACGTATACATGTAGGTTTTGGTTTTAGTTAGATTAGGTTAGGTTAGGTTAGGTTGGTTGGGTTTGGTTAGATTAGGTTAGGTTAGGTTAGGTTAGGTTAGGTTAGGTTAGGTTTGGTTGGGTGACTAAATTATGTGTATTGTGTGTTGACTTTATGTGTGTGTCTGTGTGTGTGTGTGTGTGTGTGTGTGTGTGTGTGTGTGTGTGTGTGTGTTTGGAGAGAGAGACGTCCATGGGGCACCACCAAGATAACCAAATAATGACGTGAAATGGTTCCAATACTCAACTCTGGGGGGAGGGGGGAGGGGAGGGAGGAGGGAGGAGGAGGAAGGAGGAGGAGAATAGGAAGAACAGGTGTAGGCGCCCCCGTGACGCAGTTGATTATATTTTACCCCTCCCTCATCCCTCCCTCCCTCCCTCCCCTAGTGGGGCCATTGGACTAGATAAGCCGTTATCAGTTATTGAACTGCCACCAACGAATTTATTAAAGATGGTGGTGAGGTGAGGAGGTGAGGGGTAGGGGTGAGGAGAGTGAGGGAAGGGGTGAGGGAGAGGTGAGGGAAGGGGTGGGGAAGGGTGAGGGGGGGAAAGGGTTGAGGAGAGGTGAGGGAAGGGTGAGGGGGGGAGAGGTGAGGGAAGGGGTGACGGGGAAGTGGGGGAGGAAAGGGCAAGCTAGAAGGGGCTAGGGGAGGGGAGAAAAAGGGGGAAGGGAGAGGAGGCAAGGGGAAGGGAATTACTGAAGACAAACTCGGTCGTGTTTTTAGATGTTGGTGAAAAAGATCAACATACAGTACACGTCTGGGAGGGAGGGAGGGAGGAGGGAGGGAGGGTGGAAGGAGGGAGGAGGGGGGTTAAGGGAGGCTACTTATGGCCA